TACACGGCATGTGCTGAAATCGCAGCCTCATAGCCGACTCTGAGCCTCGCAGCTGCAGGGGCGAAGGGCCGCGCTCGCAGGCCGCAAAGGAGATCGTTTGTCGTGGCAGTCTGAATGCTAGCAGCGTGGAGCGATGTGCCTCTAGCCGTAGCTAGAGGCTATTGATGTATGCTGAATTCCCTGTCAAGCCCAGAGGAACACGATGTTCTTGAAAGCCTCAAATGTAACTTTGCACAACGTCAAGGGTTGGTGTTGTTTGTTGCACTCAGGGATAGCATTTGCCGAAACTCCTGTGAATATGCATGGAGAGCTTCGCATAGTTGAAAATATGTACAGCAGCCATCGTTCGTTCAGAGGAGAACCTCTCAAGCAACGGAAAACAGATGTGGGCACGTTTGTCTCTACTGCAATCCTTGCTTCAGAGATCAAGCAAATTCCTCCGCATGATGTGGCGGAATCACTGGAGCATTATATAGCCATGTGTGCACGTGCTGCTCAGGGCTTGACCAGCAGGCCCATGACTGTCCCGTATGATGAGTCGCAGGTGTGGCAGACAGAACGTAAGCGTGTATGTGGAGGCCATCGCTAGTAATAGGTTGGAGGCCATCTCTATTAGGTGGAGGTCATAGCTAGTACAGTAGGTTGGAGGCCATTGCTGCTGCTAGAAATGTATGGATCAAATCTGTGCTATGCTGGTGCCAGGCCGACAGGCGACCTTTTGCAACAGCAGTGACGCACTCAGGTCTTCTGTGATCATTGGATTGGTTGGCTCATAATTCACACAAGTATCAGTATATATATATAACTATATATATATAAAGATAGGCGTATATATATATATATATATTTTTTTTTTTTAAAACCCATCAACGATTCGCGGTTCTTTGTCCCTTTCAACAGGCTTGAGAGTCACTTGAGGTCGTGAGAGCCTCGGCAAGGCCCGTGGATCTGGGCCGCTTAGGCAACAAAACCCTGAAAGCTCGTGTCTGAAGCCGAGGACATACATGGCTCCAGTAGAACGATTGGTAACAGGCAGACGTTGGCAGATGTGATGATCATGATGCCGAATGATCACGAAAGGTAGCTTGAGCTACCTGAGTTCTCCTTGCTTTAGCACAAATGTATCATCCACCTTTGACGCCGTCATGGACTTCTACCAGGGTTACTTATGATTGCCTGCTACCTTTCGTTCACCCCCTCCTCTCTCAAGTGCCATCTTACGATTTTGCTCATGATCTTCTTCTGGTCCCATACCAGGTCATCTTCGGCGCTGGGTGGCGGAAGTTTCCAACAACGGAAGCAAAAAAATGGACATGGACGTCGTGCGGTGATCTTCATTTTGACGATGTGCTGCGGTGTGTGGCGACTGGTTGTGGTGAAGTGCAATGTTTGATGTGGCGATGTGATGCTATTATATAGATGCTATTGATGGGTGTCCCTCTCTACTTGGTGGTTTCTTCATTGTATTGTTCGAGTTTTACTAACATCAGACTCCCATGCTTTTCTCCCTACTTGCTTTGCTTGGCTCTAGAGAGATTTTTGCGTCCCTACTTCATGCGGCACAGCTGAACATGCCCCGAAACCATCCTGCTTTTGGCGATGCCTGTGAAATCCCCAGCTGAAGTCAAACCCGCATGTTCCTAACGTTTATTCGATGCTTATTTGCTATTTCCGCAGGAGGTTTGATAGTTTCCTCAACTTGGAAGTTTCTGAGCAACACTTCACGCCGCCACATCTGTCTGTGTGTATGGCACGTATCGTATGGTGAACATGTCGCACCGAGGCCTCGAAGGCATGCCGCTTGGATGAAGAAGCAATCACCACCCGTGCCACTGGGGCTCGAGGTGCGAAGTTGGGGATTGTGGAGCAATGGGGAAGGCAAGGCAGAAGGCAGAACAAATGATGAGAAGAACACACCCTGGAACAGTCCGTTTTTGTAGGTTTACAGTTCCGTCTTTTCATTAATTTCACCCTTCAGTGCAACAGGGTAGGGCCAACGGCCACTTGTCTCACTCAGACAAAGGTGGCTCCGGCAAAAAAACTGGACTGTAGGATGCGGACTGTCTATATGATGTGATCACATTGCTTGATGTCAAGCCAGTCGACTAGATGCGGGCACCCATTCAGAGTATGTGTCACGAATGCGCATTGATTCAATGACGCAGGAAGCCCTGGCTGCAAATGGACATGCTAAACTAATTAGCACTAATCCCAAAGGGCTCCCTTTTTTTTTCACCCTCAAACAATGTTTTTTTCACCTTCCCTTTTTTTCCCACCCTCGAAGCCTTTTTTTTTCACCCTCAAGATTCCTTTTTTTTTTCCCCACCCTTTGGGACCTTTTTTTTCCACCCTCCCAAAACCTTTTATTTTCACCCTGCACCCTGTCATTTTCACCCTGTAGCATGCTTCTTTCACCCTTCACCTTGTTTTTTTCACCCTTCACCCTTTCTTTTTCACCCTCGACCCTTTCTTTTCAACCCTCCGCCGGTGAAGCAGGTATCCCATGGAACCTGCACAGAGAACGATGTCACCTCCGGTTTGTTTCACACCGCTTGTCCCTGCACCTGCCAAACCCTTTGTTTTCACCCCAATAGCTTCTTGTTACTAGCCTTCGGAACCCTCCCGAAACTGCGTAGAGACTGTCCGGAACGACGGGAACCGCCGGAAACTGACCCGGACGCCTCCGAAACGTGAGGCAGCACAGGATCCATCCATCCGTCCATCCATGCATCCATCAACGGAGTGCCAACCAAACAACCAAGCAATAACTCCGTGTTTTCCCCAAGTGCTGTAGGTACTAGAAATCCCGCGCGGGGGAGGCTTGGTTTGCATTGCAGGGGAGGCGCTGCGCCCTCCCCATTTACACAGCATCCGTCCATCCATGCACCCATCAACGGAGTGCCAACCAGCCGACCAACCAACCAAGCAACAACGCGGCCAAGCCAACAAACCCACCAAGCAACCAACAACCAAGCAACCAAAACCACCCATCCCGTAGCGCTGCGCCCTCCCCCGCACCCCCTCCCGCCTTGACTTACACAGCATCCATCCATCCATCCATCCGTCCGTCCGTCCGTCCATCCATCACTGTATGTGTCTTCTCCAAGCCCAAGCAACCGACAAGTCAAGCAGGCTGAACCAACCAACACAACAACCAAAGGAAGGAGAGTTAAAAAGAAAGGGTGGGTAGCCCACCAGCAGCAAACAAACCAAGCAACCAAACGTTTCCCCCAAATGCTGTCGATACTTGCTTTGCATTGGTAGCCCACCAAGCAACCAACAAACCAAGCAACCCAAACCACGCAACCCTGTTTTTCCCCAAATGCTGTCGGTACTTGGTTTGCATTGCGGGGAAGGCGCTGCGCCCTCCCCCGCACCCCGTCCCGCCTTTACCCATCCATCCATCCATCCATCCATCCATCCACTGTATCACGCAAGCAATCAACAGCAAGCAAACCAAGCAACCAACCCACCAAACAGTTTTATTTTTCTCCCTGTCCATCATCCATCCATCACTGCATGTGTTTCCCAAAATCCAAGCAACCAACAAGCCAAGCAGGCCGAACCAACCAACACACCATCCAAAGGAAGTGGGTTTAAAAAGAAAGGGTAGCAACCAAGCTGTGTTTTCCCCAAATGCTGTCGATACTTGCTCTGCATTGGTAGCCCGCCGAGCAACCAACAAACCAATCAACCAAAACCACACAACCCTGTGTTTTCCTAAAGGCTGTCGATATTTGGTTTGCATTACAACAAGCTAGCCAACCAACCAACACACCAAGCAAAGGAAGGAGGGTGAAAAAGAATGGGTCGAGGGTCAAAAAAGAAAGGGTAGAGGGTGAAAAAAGAAGGTTCGATGGTGACAAAAACAGGTTCAGAGGGTGAAAAAGAAAGGTGGAGGGTGGAAAAAAAAAAGGGCGGGGTGAGAAAAACCGGGTTCAAGGGTGAAAAAAAGAAGGTTGCCCATCCCAAAGCCCCAGCTCCAAGCGTCGGACATTTATGCACCTGCACCAGTTGGCAGGAAGCATTGATGCCCGGGCCAAGACTTCACCCGAGTCCGGACTTCTGCAGCTAGGTGGGAGCACAAACGGCATAGTCTAGAGAAGCTTTGTGTTACCAGTAGTAATGGCCTCCAACCTATATACTGTAATAGCGATGGCCTCCAACCTAGAAGCCTTTGTTGCACGGCACAAACGGTCTTAGTTGGTCACAGCATCGACGTTTGCAAGACCCTTGAGGTTCGCATGGTCAAGACATTGAGGACTTGCTGAAGGCTTTGACGCCGGATTCCTGGATGCAAAGCCGTGAAATGACGCAGACCACTGATGGCGTCTTGAGGCCAAGACTGCGCCAAATCAGTGAAGCACAGAACTTGGAATATAGGCCAAACCGATCATGTGCGGGGAAGACAGAAGAGTGGAAAGAACTCGTTGGATGCAGAAGTCTCGCAAATCTCTAGCGGCGAAGTCTTCCAAATTAGGGCGCTGATTCGGGACGGTGCATAGGATCGCCTTTGAAGGATGGACGGCAGAGGATTACATCGAATATTCTATTGGTATTGGGGTTCGACTATTATGGGCCTGCAGTAGCAGCCAGGCTCAGCAAGGGAAAGGAGGACAAGGAGGAGAAGAATGAAGCCGAAGCATGAAGGATGTTCCTTTTCGAGCTTTGTTATCTTCCAGACTCAGATGAACTCTGAGTCTTGTAAGTTCCAGTGTGGTGGTATAGATGCTAATTTGTCAGAACCCTTGCCTTCTGATGTTGATTGAATCCCCAGAGTCAGAGTCAGAAAGGATACGTTGACATTGACAAGATGATTCCCAATACGGTGTGATCCACACCGAAGTTGAGCCCATGCCCCAAAGGGGCGGGCTGCAGGGCTGAACCAGGGCCGAATCTAATGAGGCGTTGATGGCAATCTGAGAAACAGAGCGAAAGAGTCTATTTTGGCGGTGCAGCCAGTGGCAACTGTTAAGACTGCAATTTCATGATTGGCGCAGGCGTGTGACAGCGGCCAAGGCAAGTGAAGCAAAGATGAAGCAGGCACTATCTAGGAAGCTGGAATGGAACTCGTTGCAGAAGAACCCCATAGAATCCCTAAAGCATCCCCTATGGACACACACATGTGGACATCTTTTCTTGTTTCTAGTAGTAAGGCCAGGAGCTATTAGTAGCGTCCTTGCTCCTAGTAGAAATGCACTCTTCTTTATGTGGACATTTTGAAACTGTGAAGTTTGGACCGTGTTTTTCCCCAAGCATTTGTGACGAAGTGCAGGCCATGACGAAAAGCGGGAGTGCTGGAGCCCCAGTCGACGAAAATGTATACGGCCATAAGGGAACACGCCGACCTGCTTTTTCTGTTTGGATGGATCATGTGGAATTGCCAGGCTCCAAACTTGCAGAAGAAGAAGACATCGGAGCGCTCAAACATACTTTCTACGTTTCTTATTTTTTGGGGGTAGACCTCACATCGTGCTTGCTCAGTTACCATGCATGGTTTCATGAAATTCTCACAAGTCGTTGATACTCGCTCCAACCGGTTTAGGCCGACCAAAGCATTGTAGTGAGGCGCCATAACAAGTCTATTAATCTTCAGTGCAATCAAACTCTGTGCAAAGTATTGCCAGGAGCTGAATGGTGCAACTGATGAGCTTGAGACCTAGCTTTGCGCTTGAGCTTGAGCTGCTGAAGCTGAACCAATCCTATATGAGACTGTGACTCCAGGAACGGCGGGGAGACAAAGGAGGGGGAGAAGTTGCCTGATATTCACCAAAGGCCATCCACCCCCCCGGATGGGGTCAAGACAAGTGTGTTGGGAGCTCAGAATCTAAGTTTACCTCCGATTTCCTTCGCGGAAGAACTCCCAGGTCTGAAAAGCCAAAGCCATCCCCAAAGGTGCGTTGACCCAAAATACATCCGACCGAGAGAGAGGGGGAGGGAGGGAGTGAGGGAGGGAGGAAGGGAGGGAGAGAGAGAGAGAGGGGCTAGTTATGTGACGGTGCATGATGTTCCAAGAATGGTGTTGGAGATGTCCAACGGGCACCTCAAGGATGCTCAAACCAAGAGTCATGAGAAAGCAGCCAGACAAGTTCCCGCACCATGTGGTTTGGCACAGCATGCAGGCTGCTGGCACTCCGTTAGCGCCACAGAGAAGCTTTGCTTGTGGGAGGGGCGCAACTAGTAGCTCCTCGCATCACTACTAGGAGCAAGAAGCTACTAGTAGCAAAGGGCATGGCTACTAGTAGCAAGGACGCTACTAGAAGCTCCTGGCTTGTTGTACTTTGTGTGATGCGACTGGAGCTGAGATGCGCTGTTCAGGCCTTGATTTCTGGGAAGCAAAGTGCCCACCTGAGTTGCAAGATGAGAGATGAGAAAGGTGGGACTTCTTACGCAAAATCAATGCGTAAGCTTTTGTCAGGGATTCCCAAGCTTTCAACGTGAAGAGATCAACGCTGCATCCTGAGCTGACTCCCACAGCAGCTTTTATTGGCCAGTTTTGCGCTTGTGAGGCGTTCGGATGGCGGCCGCTGAGTGGCCTCTTTCACCAAGGTGCGCCCCCAAGCACCCCAAGGACTAGTGACTAGTAGCTCCTGGCATCACTACTAGGAGGAAGGACGCTACTAGCAACAAAGGGCATCGCTACTAGTAACAAGAAGCTATTAAGGTTTCCCTGGTGGTTTCTTCCGGTGGATTCCGGAAGCACAGACCAAATGACAGCAGTCTCCAAAGCACTGGTACACTTCACACACTCGAGCGCCTCGAGCCTCTTCTCTTTCCCGCTGTGGACAAGAAGCAGGTGGTGCATGGTATTCAATTCGATCGATCATGGTTTGTCATATCTCTTCGCGCGTCGCACGCGCCGCCTCAGCGAAATGCTTTGGGCAACTGCGCAAGCTGCAGGTCTCCGTGAAGCCGAGAGTAGTGACGACTAGGTCCAAAGGACACGGCTCAAGGTCCAGGAAGAGCAAAACAAAGACTTTAAGGGCTAAACTTTAGCGAGAGGAGAACCATTCCAAAACAACTCAGGAAAAAACACATCGGCGCTTGCAAAATTTTTCCCGGACCTAATGCAAGAGCGTCACTGCTTCAATCGCAAGTGGGGCTATCCATACAGCCACATCAGTGTCGACAGCTACTATTGATTGTTGAACTTGTATTTAATCAGTCAACTGTGCAGAAGGTTCTCAGTTTCATGTGGATTGAGAATGAGGAGCTGCATGGAGGACGTCCAGCAACTTGCTGGCCAGGCTTGTTGAGCCTTCTGACCTTTTGGATCAGGATAGATGATCTCCTGTTCTAGAGATGTTTCACCCCACCTGTCGTGCGTGTTCTGCCGCTGTAGCACTGCTACAGACTGGGCATGAACTGTACCTGTTAAAGCCAAGGCCTCCAATAGAGCAGATGGCATGTCTCACTGATATGCGAAGAAAAAGCCGTTCTTGCTCGAAACCTAGGGCTTAGGACGAAGGTTCATTGACTTCAAGAGCAGGATCCGCTGCCCCATTTAAGCACCAGCCAAATTGCCCATCACGTTGCTGTGCAATTGTAGTGGAAACCAGAATGGTTGCAATAACAAGTAAGGCGGTGAGTATGTT